AATTTTGCACAGCCTGATTTTGTGACAAGCAGTGATTTGTAACTTCATCCTCAAACAGATCACCTGTGTGTGTGGTAGAAGAACTGTTTTTTACCAAAAGAATATTGAAGCCACTTTTTAAAAAAAAAATTTTAAAAAGGACACACAAAACCAGAATGGTGGTGGATTGCACTTTCCATTGAAATATTTATGTATGTAAGTGAAGAAATTAGATTAATAATTTTTGTGTTTGAAGGATGTGACCTGTTAAAAACTAAGGAGAAAAATTGACAAAAAATAATCTGTGTGAGATTTTCCAAAAGACACAACTTGTATTGGGATGAGTTGTACTCCCACTGAATTAAAAACATTCTTGTTGCTAGTTCCTGAAAAAGCTGTTTGGGGCCAGTGCTGAATATTTTGGAAACCATCCCCAGTAAGCAAGGGGTTTTGGTTAAGAAATACATATTTTTAAATTCATATTTAGGCAGGTAACGTAGTAGTCAAACTCTCTGATTCTCCTTTAGAGATAACTTCAGTAGGATCAGCTTTGATTGATGATTTTGTACTCTTAAATGAAGGCAGTGGGATAGCCAAGATGCATGGGGCTGCCTTCCCAGCACATTCAGTTCTGCTCCATCTCTATCCTGCAGTGCCATCATTCACACTTGCTTGTAAGAATTTCTTCAGCTGATCAGAGAGGAGCAGCAGCCAGTATTACTTGGTCATGGGTACAAATTGTCTGGAGATGTCCAAACTGATAAATCTCAAATCCACATTTCTGTGTAATGGCTGACACTTCATTTGAGAGCTTACCCTGTCAGGCTGCACATCTCTCCCTCTGTGGGTGTATTTAATCTGGAAGCTACTGTGATCTCCCTTTATATGCCAAAACCATTCTGCTGATTACTCTTAATCCTTACATACAACACCTCTAGTTTCATATTCCCACTTCCCCGCTATTTTCTTTCCTTCCCTATTCTCAGGAGGAGCATTTTCTAGCTGTTAAAGCACAGGACTGAAAAATCAATGATTCCGTGTTCTTTCCTCCTCCAGTATCTCATTTTGTTTTCTTGCCCAAGATTTTTCAATGTTCTGCACCTCAGATTCCTCCTCTGTCAAATGAAGGTCACTGTCATGTATCATAAATACCTCACAGTAGTACTGGGGGAGTTTATTACTTGAAAAGGGATTTGAGATCCTTCCTCAGAGACATGATGGTGCTCTCACCATGTAAAGAGTATTACATTACCCTGGGACCTGCATTAAGGGATGTCATGTACAGTTGAGAAGAAGCTCAGCCTTTTCTTTATCATTTGCCAGACTGAATAAAAGAAAGCTTTCAGCAAGAAAAATTAGGAATCAGATAAATTGTTTTTTCTGGTACATGTGATATTTGACTAAACTAATTTTTGAAGTGTTTATGGTTACATAGAATTGGACAGTAACAGCTCTTAATTTCCAGAGGTGTTACAAGGTGCTTTTATAATGTGGCATCATGTAAAATGCAGAGATCAACACGCTATTTTATGCTGAGCTATATAAACCATCTGTCATTTTCATGTGTGTACATGGTCTATATAAGTGTCTTTAGAACCCCAGCTGCTGCAGATCTTTCTGTTTACTTCACATAATCCAGATTATAAATGCTCTCTACTTAAAAACAAATCAGTATCAGTGGTTGATATAGGTCAACAATGCTGTAGCAGCCCTCAAGTACTTGGAAATATACCTTCATAGTATTGAAAAATCAATTGGAAATCTCCTTCAGAATGTACAGATCTTAGCATGTAAGACAAACACTTAACAGTGTGGTGAGTTGGTGTAGGATGCACAGAGGACAAAACTGGCCATATGGTAAAAGCTTTCTGATGAGGCTTTGGATGTTATTCTCATTGCTCCAAGCTACTCTCTGCAATAAAATACTGTGGACTTTGTGCAGGGTAACCTCATTAAATGTATTAATATATCTCTTAAATGGGATTTTTTTTTCCTTCTGTTTTATCTACTTAGGGTTTTAGCAAGGCCATTCTGCCTTTAGGCTGAACTGCCATCAATTTCTCCAGCAGATTTTTTTATGCAAATTTAAACTTCTTCTGCCTTTTGATGGATCATTTTAAATTCTGAAAAGTGCTTTAAAATAAATTACATCTTGTCCTTCTAAGATAACCAATGATCTAAAATATATTCTCTGCCAACTACAACCCTGCCTTCTCAAATCCAATTCAAAAACCACAAAAGTCACAGAAAACTCCTATTAGCCCAGAATGCATTAACATCTATAATTCTTGAGCCAGATACTGGTATGAGTTGCATTTTTAGTTTGTAGGGGAAACTAAGTCTGCAAGAGATTTGGAAAAAAAACGCTAATACATTGCTAAGTGCTTATTACCCTAAGGTAAAACCTTTCCATATAAAGATTTTACCAGGATGAACAATGCAGCATTCTACTTTTTTTGTTGTTGTTGTTTTATTGATTGGTTGTTTTTTTGAGGTTGGCTGGTTTTGGTTTTTTTTGGTTGTTTGGTTTGGGTTGGGTTTTTGGTTTTTTGTGGGTTTTTTGCCTTTTTGTTTTGTTTTGGTTTGGTTTGGTTTGGTTTTAGGGGTTTTTTTGAGTTTTTTGTTTGTTTGGGGTTTTTTGTTTGGTTTTTTTGTTGTTGTTGGTTTTTTTTGTTTGGTTTTTTTGGGTGTTTTTTGGGAAGAATGAGCTGGAAGATTCCTAGGATAAGTTTACACTTTTCACTTTTTTTTTTTCTTTTATTTGCAGAAAGTGCCATTTTTGCCACAAGAAAAATAAGAGTTTATAGCACCACCTCTCCTTCACACAGAGGACTTATTTGTATCTACAGTCCTGAGCTGAGAAGCTGCACTATACCAGAGACAATTTCAGCAGTTAGAAATCTGTATGAATGATAATTTTCAGCACAGCTGCATGTTCGCTTGCAGCATTCACTGCTCCATCAGCTGGCTGCACTCCCACACCCTCTTTTTGTTTTTTTCCAATTTCATTGCAAAGCTGGAGAGATCCTCCAAACTGAACCTCTAGCACCATGACAAGCTGCATTCAATTAAAAAAAAAACAAAACCACAAAACCAACAAAACACAAACAAATAAAAAGAAAGGTTGATTTTGCATCATGATTAAAGAAGGGAAAAGTACAGAACTGAAACTTTTCTCTCCGAAATCTGTGTCCCCGTGTATTATTTCCAAGTTCCTAGTGCAGGAAATCTTGTGTCACCTCAGCTGTGCAGGATGCTACATGAGAAAAACATCATGCTGGGCAACAAGGCTCACTAGGATCAAGGGAACCCTGTTTTCTGTCTGGGAACATCTGCCATGGCTTGGGAAGTTACTTAATCTTACAATGATCTTGATTCCAGATCTCTAAAATGGGGGCAAATAGAATTCTGCTACTTCCTGTGGACTTTTGGTCAAGTTAGCACCAATGTAGGTTAGCACACTGCTCAGAAATTGTGACACAGCACCTTTATAATTTTTAGACCCTTTATTTCTCCTGCTATAAAGGTCTCTGTCAGAGCAGCAGCATAAGCTACCAATGGACCCCATTAGAAAACACATTTGTATTAAATTTAGCAACATCCCTGATGCTGTTCTTGATGCCAGGGAGCAAGCAAAAAGGTGCAGTGATGGCTGTGATAGCAGAGGTGACTGCCCAGCTTCAGAATGGGAATGTCAGTTGGACTGTAAACTTGGGAGATGCATTTCTGGAACACTATGTGGCTACTTCTTAAAAGGACAAGAAGTAAATTCGGGACAAGGAATTTGTGAGAAAGTTACTGGTAAGTTTCTGGATCACAGTTTTGGGTGTGAACACCAAAATAGCTCACTTACAAGCCTCAAGTGCAACACCCCCACACACAAAGTGGGGGAGAAGATGGTGTAGTGGGGTAAAGAAAAACAAGGACAGATTCCAGATGACCATGCTGAAAGTTCATGTGTTCTTACAAAAAGGGATTTCTGCTGAAACCAGAAGGGAATCTTGGGTGCATACACCTTAGCTATCCTAAATAGTGCACTTTTAGCTGTACTGGTTCCCTGCCCAGAAAAGGAAAAAAAGAGTGAGTCAATCCTGCATACTGATGGAAGCCAGACCACACCAAAGCCAGAGTGTCACAGGTACCGTCCCTGTGTCAGGCTGCCCAGAACACTCTCCCTGACCCACCCATTTTAATTTTTCCAGGAACTTTCCCTATTAAATACACTTCCCATGAATGCTTTGCTCGCTCGCCGTCACCCAGCCCAGCCACTCGCTCGGAGCACACAATCAAAAAGTGATGGGATCATTCAGGGTGGGAAAGGCCTCGAAGATCATCGATTCCACCCATTGTCCCAGCATCACCGGGCCATCACACCTCCCATCCCTAAGTGCCACATCGACATGTTTTTGTGAACACTCCCAGGGACAGTGATCCCACCACTTTCCTGGGTAGCCTGTTCCAATGTTTAACCACCTTTTCCGAGAGCAAATGTTCCCCAATATTCGATCTAAACTGCCTCTGGCACGACTTGAGGCCTTTTCCTCTCGCCCAGTCGCTCATTTCCGCGGAAGCAAAGCCCTGAAGTGGTTCAGCCCCGCACCGCGGGAAGTTTGACACAGCAGAGTCGCTTCTTCACACACACCAGCACACCCCGAGGGCACCGGGGAATCCTGCAGTAAGGTTTTGAGTCCATTGTCCCGCAACCCTGTGTGCCTAAGGGGTGCTTATAAACCCCAGCAGCCGCGGGCATTTTCCCGTTTTAGACACGCGTGAGGTGGATGTCACAGCCCCGCGCCTGCAACGCGGGCAGAGCGGTGACAGGGATGGAAGGGCTGCCGGGGGAAAGCAGGGTCAGGTATTCCCCCCGGCTCAGAGCAGCTCCATCGGCCTCAGGTGCTGCAGCCCACGCCCACGACTTTGGGGTGATTCGGGAGTTTTTTTGTCACTCTTGAGCTCGCCGCTCGCGGGGCGGAACTCTGTGTCCGGGGCAGCACGGAAGGTTTCCAGCGGCGGACGCGGCGGGGCCGGAAAGCGGCGGCGGCTCCGCCGGGGAGGCGGCATGGCGGGCTGGGGGCGGCTGGCCCGGCTCGGCGGCACGGCGGGCTGGGGGCGGCTGGCCCGGCTCGGTGGGCGCCTCTGGGCGGCGGCGGGGCCAGCTCCCGGACACAGGTAGCGGTACGGCTGGGAGGGGAAGGGGCTGCTCCGAGGGACGGGCGGGAAAGAAGAAGCGGCAGGAACAGCGGGGAGCAGAGCGTGGCTCGGCCCCTATCGCAGCCCCGAGGTCGTAGGATCGTAGAATGGCCTGGGTTAGAAGGGGACCTTGAAGATAATCTAGTTCCACCCCCCTCTGCTGTGGGAAGGGACGCCTCCAGCTAGAGCAGGTTACTCAGAGCTGCATCTAACGTGGCCTTGAGCGCTGCCACGGATGGGGCATCCAGAGCTTTCCTGGGCAGCAGTTCCAGTGCCTCCCCACCCTCACAGCAAAGAATTTCTTCCGAATATCTAAGCCTACTGTCTTTCAGTTTGAACCCATTCCCCTTTGTCCTGTCACTACGGGCTCTTGTAAGTAGTTTTGCCTCGTCTTTCCTGTGGGTTCCCTGCAGGCACTGGCAGGTGAGCGGCCCTTTCCCCGCCCCGGGCGCGTCTCTGCCCGCCGCCCTTTGGGGAGGCCTCTGTGTGTGGCAGCACCTGGAAGCCTTGTTCGTGGTGCCAGGGGTTACTGCTGGGGTATTCCAGCCTTAGAAACGTCCCCGGCCTGCGTGGGAGTTAAGACAGGACAGGCACGTTCGCATCCAAGCCATCTTTGCAGCATAGTGAGTGACTTGACCTGCCGTGTTTTGGGTGACCTTGGCCCGCTGGCCACGTGCATTCACTGCCTATACCATTAAATACTGTCTTGTTGACATTGCAGAGGACTGGGGAGCATTCAAGCCTTTTTCAGCTCTCATAACATTTATGACAGGACACTGAGCTGTTCAGCAGTGTTTGTAGAATGAGAGAGTTGTTGGGGCTGGAAGGGAGCTAAGGAGCTAAGTTCGAAGCTGAGGTCGTAAGTTCTTCCTCACAGTGTGACCAGCCCTGAGGTCAGCCTAGGTTGCTCAGGGCTTTGTGCTTTTGGGTCTTGAAAGCCTCTAAGGACTGAAGCTGCACAGTCCCACTGTTTGGACCCCTGTGCCAGTGTTTGATTGTCTTCATGCTGAACATTTTTTTTTTCTTAGGGCAAATCTGAGTCTCCCTTTTCAGTTTATAGCACTTCTCTCACTCTCCTGGTGTGCACTTCGTTGACATGGCCTGCCTTGGTCTTGTCAGTAGCTTTCTCACAAATTATCCCATGCCACTTGTGGATGGGATTGTGCATTTCTCCTTTATGAATTTCACTGGGTTCCTTGTTGGCTTGTCCCTCTGGCTGGCAGAGGGGCACCCTTGGGCATCATCCTCTGCTCCCTTCCAGCATAAGAACAGTGCACTCATCCCCTCTCAGAGGCCACTGAAATGATACTGTACAGGACAAGTTCCTGAATACTCTTGAGCAACTCTGCTTGTAACTTGCCTTCTAGTGGAGTCCAAAGCATCAGCTGTGACTCCTTCAGCTGACGATCCAGCCAGGCTTTTTCTCAGCTTATAGTCGACCCATCCATACCACAACACCCATCTTGAATAGAAGGATGCCACAGCAGATTGTTTTTAAAAGTCTTGCTAAAGTTAAATGGTACATACTGTTATCTCTGTTCATGGGTCTAGCTGTTTTTTTTTTTTTTCTTTTTCTTAAAAGGAGTGGGTGGTTGGTTGGTTGGTTTGTTGCCTGCTCCCCTTTGGTATAATTCAGAATATTTAGTCAAATGACAGATTATTAGGTGTTTTATAAATTAGATGTAACATACATGTTGTGGCACACTTTTTGTACTGATAAGACACTCAAAACCTTTTCCCACCTCTGGAAAGGGATCAGTTGGGCTTTGTAGTCAGACATATCAACAGTTCAACATGGTGGCACGAGCATCTTTCTGAAGAGAATGTGGAGTTCCTCAAGAAGATAACTGCAGAGGAGTACAAAGCTCAGACAGCCAGCAAGCTGTGCCCTCTGAAAGATGAGCCATGGCCACTGAATAAGTGGACACCAGGTGAGAAATTATCTCTTGTGAAATACCTGTTCATGTTGAATTTATTATTGTTGTTGTGTTGTTGCATTCAGTAACATCAGGATTGTGTCTTGTGAAGTATTCTCCATTTGGCTTTCACATCAGTCACTCAGTAAATCTCCTGGCAGATAAGTAAATGTAATACGTCAGTTCTCTAAAAAACATTTTAAATATTACAAGATGTTAAGAAGCTTTTAAGAACTTTTAGTTTTTAAGGATGGTTTTTAGTCCAGCTCTTGGCCTATCCCACTGCTGTACAACAGCAAGATAATAAATTCAGAATTTGTCCAAAAAGTCTTCTTAGAGTATAAAGTGTATGAACTTGAAAATGATTTTGTTAATATTGCTGGGCTCTGAAGAAAAAGTGTAGTATATAATACATCCCACTTCTGGTCTGTGATTACAGTTTCCTATGGACTAAAACACAGAATTAGGTTTTTGAGCTTTCAGAAGGGTCACATCATTTGTGTGGCATACTTGACACGTTGCCATTGCAAAGATTGGAGTGGGAGGAGCCTCCTACAGCAAACTTTTCTATAGTTAGCTTGGCTCTAATACATGGGCATTGTATTTTGTAAAAGAAAAGCAAACCAAAAGTAGTTGCATTTTCTATCAAACACAACTGAAACAGAAGAACTTTACTGCTGGTGGGATTAAAAAAACCCAGCCTACCTGCAAGTATTTAGTGGTGTTTTCTCTCCTTCACCTCCTTAGGAAAGATCAGAGTTAATGGGACTTCGCAGATTATTCTATGAACTCTTTCAATTATTAAGTGTGAAGGTGCATCTATATTCTGTTTTCATCTGCAGATTCCATCAGAGTTGGTGTTGTTGCAGTAAAACTGGGAATGATGCCAATATGGACCAAATCAGGAGAAAAACATGCTGTCACACTACTTAAGGTGAAATAAACCATAATGAATTTAATCTCCTATACTATATTCAGATTCTAAACCAGCTGTTTCAAGGAAAAGTTAAACTTACTACTTGTACAGAGTAGGAAAGCCTAAAGAAAGTGAAGATTTCTTTCACTCCTGTATAGGATACCATGCCCATTCTGTTTATATCCATTCTTTCTAGGAGTGCTCTGCCCTACTGCCTCAGCTATTCAAATGCTGCAGAGCTATGAGTGGTGTTACCTACGTGATGCAACAAAGCTGGGATTAACTATCACACTTCAATTTCTTTGCTGTTTCCACCTGCAGGCATGTTGTGATTAGTTTCACCTTGGTTTCTGAGCCTTTGTAGCTCTGAAGCTGCTTCTTCATATTCTTCAGCAGCTGCTCTTGTGATGAAGCCTTTTGCTGACTGGCTGCTGCCGCAAGAGGAGTGTGAAGGCCATCTGGTTTACAGGGCAAAGGAGCAGGAGTCTAAAATGGGGACCCTTACTGTGTGCTTTGCATGCTTACAACAAGGGTTTTGCAGATCTTGTGTGAAAAAGGTGATTATCATTTCTAGAGCATTTATGAAATTAGTTTGTATTCTACCAATTTTTTTTGGCTGAAATAAGCCTTCAGTTCATTGGGAAAGCAATGTCAGTGGTAAAAACGTAGCACAGTCTTACTTGTAGGCTGCATCTTCTGTTATGAAACCCAGACTGACTTTGGTGTTTCATTGTCTTAATGTATACACATCTGCTTATGCTCGGACAAACACTTTTTCTTTTCTCTAGGTTCAAGATTGCCATGTTTTAAGATATGTTTCAAAGGAAGAGTCCGGTGCAAAAACAGCTAAGCTGCTTGTTGGAGGCAAAAATGTATCTCCTTTTTCTGTAAGTGAAGCACTTTGGGTGTCACTGCTGGAATAGTTGTTTCTGTTGTGATGATAATATAAAGGTAGCATAAGTAGACTTCTCTGAAAGATTGATTGGCTGACAACGTGCTTTGTAATTGATTTTTTGTCACATTCACCTTTGCCATTTCCTAAGTGAGTGTAAATTCTTGATTAAGAGAATAGCAAGAAGAACTTTTTGAAAGTTTTGCCTCTTAATTCTCTAGGAAAGCTGTGGGTTTATGAATTTGCTTTGAGGTGCAGTGTCTCATGCTGGTGAAAGGGTTTGAAGGACCACTAGCAGTGGAGAAATGTGTGTTCTTCGTGTCTGTGGAGATTCAGTTGAGATGAGGACTGCAAGATACACACTTCAGGAGCCTGTAGTATACTTATTCAGCTTCATCAGTTGTTTACAACTTAGTGCTCTGGCTTACTCTTCTGTACTGTCTTTTTAGCTATAGTTTTACTTTTTCCCCAGGTCTGTTGACATTGTTTAGTTTACCTATAGTTCTGCTAAGTAACTTCAAGACTTATCTTTTTAAGAAGATAGCTTCATGATTGTAACTCATCAACAGCCATATCAAAGCCACTCACTTGTTCAGACATCCCAGTTGCTTGATGTGGAATTCCCAGATATCTCTAGTGGCTGAGGTTGTCTGGCAGAGCTGTCATTCCCCAGGATGAGTTACAGATCAAACAGGAGCAAAGGTTTCCCTCAAAGGATGTTTCTGTGATGCATTATTTCTGTAAAATATAATTTTTCAATTCTTGCAATATCCTGACACTAATTTGTCTGATTTGGGCAAGTGAAAAAATCCCAGGGCTCATGACTACTAAGCAGATTATCTCAGTTCATCATTGTGGCTTTTTGAGGGCATAGATTTCCATTTTTCAAACAGATGGTTATCCCAGGGCCTCAGAATTAATCTATTTGTTTCTGCTTTAGTGGAGGTAATAGAAGAAGGAGAAGAGTAGATCTGTTGGCTTTTCTAGTATAGTCTGCTGATTTTGAACAGGCTTATACTTCAAGGTACCATTCATTTATTCAGTTGGTTTACGACATGTTTGACTAGTACAGCTTGCACTCTTTAGGTGTCTATTCTGTCACTTCAGTCCATTTCTACTTTCCAGGTATGGCATTTTCCTGGAAAAATGTCAGCTGTGTTTCTTTCTTTCCTGTTACTTTGGTCTAAGACATGCAAGAGTCATGGGAATAATAATTTTCAAGTTGTGTTTTGCCCATTAGACTCCTTAGAGTTGCTCTTTTCTTGAAGATGGTGTTACCAGTAGGTCCAGTATATTGTCAGAGTAAAAGCATGCCAGAAGTAAGGAGGTATGAAGCAAACTTCTTTTTAAACAGCTCCTATGAAAATTTCTTCAAAGCAGAACTACGTAAAAAGTCAACTCAAGGACTTTTTAGTAGTGTGGGTTATGTTTAAGACTTTTTTTTGGGCATAACTTTTCCCAAGTTAGTGTCTGTTAATTTGGTTGAACTTTAATTTTAACTCATTTTAATAAAGAAATTAATTAAATATTCTTTGAGCAGTCTTTGGTGAAGTTTTGGCTTGAGACTGAACTGTTTATTATTAATAATTATTAATTAATAATTATTCTGAGCTCTGTATTATTATTTTTGACATCATCATTGTATAAACTAGGTAATTCCTAAGGAAGAATTTGGCGTACTGATTCTGGGCAGCTTTACTTGTTACTAACAAGTGATGTATTTCTGTGGTTTAGCTGCAAGTTTGGATCATTGTTTTCCTATGTTTATCAGCCTTCCTGTGTTTTTCTTTTCTCTCTGAAGTGTCAGAAGTGAGAATTAAAAGAAAGCTGAGTGATACTGTTTTGTATTAGCATAAGCAATTTCTTTTTTGTTAATTCTTCATAGGAACATCAGTCTTCCTCATATTTCTCACAGCTACTGGTTTTCAATGAGTTCAGTCAAAAGATTCCTTCAGTAATTTTTCTAACAAAGAATTTCCTGTATTTCTTTGGAGTGTCAGATTGCTTTAAAACTGATAAGGGGTTTTGCATTTTTAGCAAGAGTCATTTTTCCTTTTTAGCTTGATGTATGTCACTCTGTTAAAAGTGAACAGATTCTTCATGATTTTTTAATGCAAAGTTATGCTCAAAAGTAAGTTCTGTAAGTGCTCAGACTTTTTTTTTTGTTAAAAATATTTTATATGCTTCCTATACATGAGGGTGTATTGATAATTTTCCTATAATACTGGAAGATATTGTTGGTGTTTTTAAAAATAAAGAACCTCTGAGAATCCACTCAGTGTTCCCTTCTTCAATATTGCTTTTTAGGAAGGGTTTGTAAAGACTGAAGTGTTTTGTTTGTAAAAGTACATCTCTGACTTGGCTGTTTGAAGAGGAGGTGCTGTTGCAGTAGAACAGTGCAAGGCTACAGCCTAGAGTAGGACTCTTGAGATACAAGTGAATTTTACCCTTTGACTTCACCATGCTCTTCTTCAGGTGTGGTAGCTCTTTCCAGCCACCCATGCTGAGCACAGGGCTTCCCTTGCTGTAGCTTAAGGCAGCAGTTTTACATAGCTGGAAATAAAGGATTGATATACAGGCACTTAGTAGGAAGTCCATATCTTTATTTTTCATTCTCACATATAGTTCTGCAGGTTAATACAGGTGCTCCACTGATCTCTCAAATATTTGTGGTCTCAGGAGAGAATTTGTATGTAGTTGTTTCTGGTTTTTTAAAGGTATTTGAAGTATTTTGTACTGTGACCTCAAGTTAACAAATCTCTTGAGAAATATTTTTCACTCTCAAAGACAGATTCATAAACTTAAAATTCCTGGTTTTTTTCTAAATCAGAGATGCTCATCGTCTTGCTTCCTCATTCTTCATAAAACTTCCTCTGTTCTAGCACTTCTCAACAAATGTTTGAAAACAAAAGAAAGGGCAACATGCAGGTTTTCAAAACTGTGTTTTCAAATACACTAAGTAACATTTTTAAAATTGTGCACATTACTTGTTTTTAAAATACACAAAATAATTTTTGAGAGAGAGGGAGCTGCACAGGAGTTTTGAGAAGCAAACCTCAGAGGTGAGATTATCCAAGTGTGACAGTATTGTTAGATGCTTAAATTGCTTTCTACCAGAAATAATTTAAAGGAAAATCACCTGCTTCTCTTTTTTTTTTTTTTTCTTTTCCTGTGGCCACAATTTTCCTGCATCACTGTTTCTGTTGCTTGGTTTTGTCTCAGTGGTATGCTGTTCTGTGAGATGTCTTGCTTAAAACAGCTGAGAATAATTTTAAGTACTTTTAAATCTGTCAGACTCATCTGAAAACAGAATCCCTGCTTTAGTAAGTCAGCAGTAGTTTGACACTAAGTGTACTTGCTATATCTTAAAAATACACGGATCATAAACTTGTTGTTATTTTTTTGCCCAGAGACTCAAAATTTTCTTCTGTGGAAATTTAAGCATTTCTAGAAGTTTCTGCAAGATGAGAATTTGTTTCTATGGTTTTGTTAGTTAATAACAATTTGGTTTTGTTAGTTAATAAATTATATTTATTGTGGTGTGGAACTAAGTCATCAGAAGCTTTGAAAAAGAGAATCTCCTTCTAAATTCAAAACTCCTTGTAAGCCATGAAAAACAAAAGTAGCGTCTGTCATGTACATTCTAAATGATTTGTTTCCCTCTTCTGATCTTCAATAGCCTCATATATCTCTCATTTATATTAGGTAGCTGTAGGGTAACTACTTGACAGAATATAAAAGGCAGACATTTATTTATTTTTAAATAAACTTTATGTAGAGATAAAATGCACACCTCATGTGAAATTCTAGTATGATGTATCTGTTTCTCTGAGTGATGTTGGCAGTCTGTAATAGTTTTCTTGGCTGGGTTGATTATTGGGTATTTAAGATGACTTCTTTTTTATGGCTGCTTTTTGTTGCAGAAACCAGAGTCTGCACATGAAATTTTTAAAGAAGCTGGAGTACCACGGAAGCAGAAAGTTACAACATTTAATGTAACAGATGATGCCATAATTAAGCCAGGTAATTTTTTTGAGCTACTGAATATTATGTGCACAGTCATTTAGCATCTATCACTTGTAGACATAAATGAAGTTATGATGTGTATTTCAGTGTTGTTTTTCATAGAAAATGCTGAATTCTTTTTCATTAAGCATAAGCAAACTTTTTTCATAGGGAAAATCAGAAGATGGGTTTTACTTTTTAGTTGATGAGATGTGTTTTTTGCTTTTTCCAGGGCACTATGTTTCCACCTATAAGAAAATAAATCCAATCCAAATTTACTCTGAACATTGAGTTAAGAAGTAAATGTCTGTAACCTTGATTAACTTATTGGGCATAAATATGGATACAGTTACAGGAAGTTCTGTGTTTATCCTTATGAGAGGGACACAATTTTGGTGATGTTTCCCAGGACCCTGAAATAGCAGTTTGAGTTTTGTTCCTTCTTGCTGTATTCAAAAGTAGGACGAAGGCTGCTTTTCCTGTTTTACAGCTTGCAAAGTAAAACACTCTAAATCCTGTTTATAGCAAACATTCTCACTACAAATCAGTATTGGAAGTTTGTAGATCAAATGAGAAGTTTTAAGTTTCTGAGGTTTTATTAGGTAGTGTATTTAGGTTGCATTTATTTTGTGGGTTTTGGCAGTTACAGGTATTTTCTGAAGGATTATGGAAATTGAAATAGAGTAGGAAATTCTAATGTATTGCATCTTCAGTGCCATTAGTGGAACTTTTTAAGCTTTTATAGCAAGACCTTTTTAAGACAGTGCAGTAACTGATAAAAATCAAATCTGACATGAAGTCTGGACTGATAAATGGAAGTAATAGCTTGAGATAAAGCAGAATTGCAAGTTTTTGATAAGTTGGTTTTGCAGTGTGTGTATTTTGTGCATAACACCCTTTATGTGTATGATTCTGTGTTAGTTGGCAGTTATCCAAGTGTGTGGATTATGTAAATGGAACATGAAATAATATAAAAGTTTTTATGCTTGAGACTTATGAGAGGTTTACATAATTTTAGTTTGCATTCATACAGATTTGAGAAAGCATGGAAGCAATTGAAAAAACAAAAAGCAATTAAAATTTATTAATGGATGTATAACAAACTGCAAACTGAAATATGCAGCCACATGGATCTTCAGTTTAAAGTTCATTTATAAAGAACTAAGTTATCAGTTTTGCTTTGTTGGGTTTTTTAAAGCTGCTAATGAAAGAAGATTTGCACTTGGATGAAAAAAACCACTGAAGACAAAACAAATTGGAAATTAATATTTTGATACTGCAAGTACTTAAGGAATTAGTGTAATTACAGTGAGGTGAGTGATGTCACTGACCTACAGGAGCACTGTTTCTGCTAAAGGTTAGCATGTAGACAATTCCTCAGTGGAGGAAGCTGTACTTTTGCTACAGACTTTAGTTTGGAAACACTGTCCCTTAATAGAGGAAGCATTGCAAAAATTTTTTAACCCCATTTTTTTCTAGTAAATGGGTTTTTGCAGTTTGTTTGGATTTTTGGTTTGTTTTTTTTTTTTAAACCCTCCACCTTGTGAAGTCCTAGTAGTTCTAAATGCAACATACTCTGTTTTCTTACTAAGCATATGTATTATGAATCTTAACTAATTAGGCACTTTGGGCTTTGGCAGTGTGGGAAGGGCAGTGTATCTGAGTAAAGCCTTGACTCTTCCTTCCTGCTCATCTGAAATGGGGTTATATCTTAAATGTGCTTAAATAATAAATACAAAGCATCTATTTCAGTCTGTGAGGTTGATAAAGAAGAACAAATAAGATTTAAATAACAAGTTCTGTTTCCTTTCCTGTGACTGTAACCTACCCTGGAGGATAATAACTGCATAGTGGTTGAGGATTTCAGCACTAAGTTGAACTTGATCTCTCCTCTTCTTCCGCAGGTACTCCTTTGTATGCTGCTCACTTCCGCCCTGGGCAGTTTGTGGATGTTACTGCAAAAACGTAGGTGCCTGAGAATTTATCATGTCTTAAATCTTTCTCAAAGAGAATGCCTATTTTTTTTCCCTCTAATTTGGCTCACAAAAGCTGAAATACAATTGCAGTGGTAGTATAAGGAAATTGATGTCTGTTCACTCATTGGGTCAGAAATATCAAGTTATGTTTCTTGATGAGGCTAACTCTTGCTTTTGAGCAAGGCAGGTAGATTATGAGTACTATAAAGGCTGAGGTCTGCTTGTGTTGTCTCTCACATGCCCATGATTAGCATGGGCAAAGAGATACTTTAATGTAGTGTCTCTAGTAATAAATGCTGAAAGGTATTGGTTCCCAAAAAGACACCTTAATTTTAATTTGGTGAAGAGATGAGAAGAGATATGTGGACTAAAAGGATAGTAAAAAGATAGTGAGTACATTTAGCAGTAAAACAGAGTTGTCAAATTCTTTTTATTTGTTTTCTCTCACATTCCAGCTCATGTCCTTGCCAGCAGTGGCTAAAGATCTTTTACTTTAATGTGGGAGGAATAATTTCCTCTCAGACCACTGTGAATGCCAAATGAGAGCTCAAGTAATAGAGGGTGTTCAAAAGAAAAATTGGCATCCTGTGGCAAAAAAAAAAAAAATCCTATCCTGGCTTTTGTACATATGTGATTTCACCTGATCAAGAGAACTCCTGTCTGCGTACTTCAGTGTCGTGATACAAAGATAATATTTGCCATTGCAGGTTTTATTTTCTCTGCAATGGAGATAGTACCCAGCTGCATGTCTCACATGTAGGGCCTAATACCTATAGATGTCCAATGCTGTTCACAGGATTTTGTATATATGGGGAAACTGGCCATATCAACAGAGCTGAGTATGCAATTCTGATAGAACTACACCTCCCTACATTTGTGAGGGCACTCTATTGAGAAAAACAGTTTAAGGAGTTGACTGGAATTAGTATTTTTCCATGTCAGACTTTGTTATACGATACTTAGATCTGGCATATTATTCATTCTGCTTGCAAATTGCATTCAGTGAGCATAGGTTGTTTGAGACCATAGGTTGTTTGCAAAACAAAGTGCATGATCATTAGGAATACAGTCAGTTTATGGATATAAAGTGTCAATCTTTGTTAATGCAGAAAAGCTTTGTTTTCCTAGGAGTTGTTCCAAGAGCTAGGGAAGAGATTTTTTAGCAGTGTAGAAGCTATTGGTAAACAGCCACAGGGTATTGATTTGTATCTTGCTTCTAGTATTTGAAAATACTAGCAAGATAAAAATGAACTGAGTTCTTGGTCCTGTTCAGTGAATCCATCCTAGATTGGAATTAAGTATTTCTAATATGTTTTCTCTAGATATTTTTATGATCCCATTTCAGAAATTAGCTGTGTGTTTGTACTGCTGGTTTGGTAGCATATTTCTTGTAATCCTTCTGTAAAGGTGAAGGAAATGTTCTTTAACTAAAGAGAAAGGTGAAACGGGTTTTCTGTCAGTGTGATTCTTTAATCATTTCAGTTTCTCTATATCAAAATTTTTTAACCTTTTCCTGTGGCTTGTTCACATTCTGATTACTACTTCTTTGGAATGCTTCATTTATCGTGTGCCCTTAGCTTTCGGGCAATAATTAAGTTATGTTACTACGTTTCAGTTTTTCTTCTGTTTTTTTGGTTTTTTCCATGCAATTTCATCCAGCAAAGTCCTACCCAGCCTGGGGAAGGATGTGGAGGGAGGACCTGGGTCTTTCTGTTTCCAACCATTATGGACTTGAAGAACAGTAATTCCTAAAATGTGCTGTCAAGTTTTTATAAATATATTTACATAAATATGTACTTTACATTTTTGAGTTTGACAGTAATTTTGCTTTAATTGGAAGAGACACCAGAGTGTACAGTATTAGAAATCATGTGGATGAAAAAAGCAGTGCTGTTGATAATAGCACGATTAATTGTAGTAAGTCCTTTAAAAAGGAAAGAAAACAAATGTCACCTCAATGAGGAGATAATATAGTGGAATATAAAGGATATTTTAATCTTTTACCGACTTCTAATTGTTCAGATGAGCAAGTATCCTTTTGTATGCTTACTTCTGCCAAAATGTAAACAAAAAGTATGCGCCTTATAAATAAGCAAACTTTAAATTTAATTCCAGAAGTCTTGGGTTAGCCTCTTCATTTGGTTACCAAAATGTAGGAGATTTTTTATGACTGTCTTCCTTTAATCTTCCATGCAAATGTTTTTGTCAAAGTCTTTTGAAATTTTTAGATTCATTTATACCTCTGTAAACAAAAACACTTTCACAGGAATGAGAGGGTTTGGTTGAAGATTTATGTATGCACTTTTATTTCAAATCTCACAATTGTTCACCATGGTATGAGTGGCTTTTAGAGCACTGAGAGTAGGCAGTGTGTCTGTATGCTGTAAATCTTCTATAGCGATGAAATATTTTCCTTAGTACTCATTTTGAGTAATTTAAAAGCTCAATCCTTAAGTTTGGCCCTGCTGAGCTTGGAGCTAAAATGCATAACAGCATCCACAAACACTTCCATCACCAGCTGCAGCTCTGTGACCCCACTTCTAGTACTGCATCCAGCTCTGTGGTCCCTTCTAGGGATGGAGCACCACCCCTGTGAGAAAAAGCTAAGGGAATTGGGATTGTTCAGCCTGGAGAAGAGAAGGTTTCAGGGTGACCTAATTGCAGCCTTCAAGTACCTAAGGGAGCCTGTAAGATGGAGAAAGACTGCAAAAGTATGTGGACAAATGTCTTCAAACTGAGAGTAGGTTTAGATTAGATATTAGGAAGAAATTCTTTACTGTGAGGGTGATGAGGAACATCAGAAATATTCTCAGACCCAAGAAAAAGCCAACAGTAGATTTGTTGGAAATGAGCTAAATTAAGTCATGAGTTTGGAGTGTTTATGGTTTAAGTTTTGCTTGATTAACAGTGTAATCTGAGCCTGAATCAGAGCTCTCCATTTGCCCAAAGTTATCTAAGTAGTTGGAATATTTTTCCCCTGCAGCATTGAAATAATGCTCTTTTAAATTAACTACATTTGAAACATTACTAGCAAAGTAAATTGTTGCTTAATTGGCGTTCTTTATTCCAGTTACTTTCTAAATGAAAGTTCTCTCATTAGATACTGGCATTTTACTTGTATCAAATCTGGAAAATGAGGGTTTGTATAAAATTAGGTGGTTAACCTCAACACCTGCTTTCCTGCAGGTGAGACCAGAACAACTGTAATTAAACTCTATTTTTAACTCTGCAAAAATATTATTTTCCTTTTATTTAACTCTTGCATGTCCTCGTTTTTCATACCATCTTTGCTCCCTGTGATTACTTTCTGGGAATCAGATAATGCTTCACTCAGTGAAGCCAAGTAAACTAAGTCAGTGTATTGCATCTGTAGAAGAACAGGGACATTCTGCAATTCAAATCTAATTTTGTAAGTCTCATGCATGTGGGATTTTGTGTTCAGATATGGTGTCCAATGTTACTGTTAGAACATTAAAAATGTATGGTCCTTGATTCAAACCAAGACAACAGGTAGAAGATGCCTTAGCATGATATCACAACAGGGTAAGTAGGGTGTCAAACATTATACTTCGGTGTAAGTTCTTGGTTATCATATTTCAGATACTGTAGCAAAATCAATTATTTTTAAGTGGATCCTAGTACTTTATTCTGTTAAGTTAATATATAGTACTGGATTAGGATCCTACTTTGACAGACCTTAATGTTTCTTAAAAATTTTAGCTGGCTTAGGTTAAGTTTGAATAATTATTTTTCTTTTATCGGTGATACTTGCTGAATGTATTCACACATAGTAATTTGTAAGGCGGGCAAAGAGGGCAATTAAACAATTTGAAATTAAATGAGTAATATTAATAGCTGACACCTGGTGTCTGTTCAGAAATCAACAAGAATGTAATCTTGCATAATATTCATAATTTTTGTCAGAATAAAAAGTTTAAGAAGACTGTATAAACCATTCTCTGATTTTCCATAATATGTCTTGAACAGGAAGCATCTTAAGTTCTCTTCCTTGTTTATATAAGATAAATATTTAGTTTCAAAAGTACGTTTCATTTCATACATTTGGAAGAATGTAAAATCTTTGCATTAATGTACAGATAAATTGTGGGTCGTGGAACATATACTCATTATAATTTTTTTTCATATACTGGAGAAATCCGCCACTTGTCTGAAAACAGATCTTATTCACATCAACTTAGCTTTTAGAATGCTTGAGGTATATTGCTTGAGCTACTAACTGCCTAGTTGACTAGTTCTAAATTTTATTATAAACTAGATATTAGTAGTTCCTTACTTCATTTTAAACTTTACATTCAGTCTAGATAATCTTATTCTGTTCTTATTTTGGTTCCAGCTTTATTTCAGATAGAACATGAGTCAAATAAAATATACACTGTGTAATTGTTTATCTTCTTGACATGTGTTTAAAAAACATTACACATAATTTATTCTTTTTTTAAGGTAAAAATTCAAAAATGAAAAAAAACCCTAATGGTGCTTCTTATTTAATTATTTCAGTCATGATGGCTGTGTCATATTGAATAGGAAATTAATATCAGAAAGTCATAAGGTAAAGTATCGTTGTAGGTAATTGAGTGATTTTTACAAATAAAAAAGGAAACTAATCTGAAACATTATTGAACAAATATGATGGAAAAGCCTTGAGTGATAGTGAAGCATTGTACATAATAAAATACTCTTAATTTCAGCATTTTGATATCTTTCCTTGACTTTAGGCAGACTATTTCAGAGGCTGAAGGTTTGTTTTCGTATTCCAGATCAGCAGGTGTAAGAGGACTTCCAGGTTTACTAGAGTGCTCTTTTTTCAGTCTGATCACACTTTCTATAAATTTCCTAAGACTTCAGTATTGTAAAATTTGAGTCTTTGTTCCCAGAAAATACATGTGTAATTGGAAGGACCAAAAAGCAGCCAATCATTCTCTATTGCATGAATCATTTAACACTAGCAACTCTGTCTTGTGATATAATCAAAAAAAGATATATAATTTTTTGAAGATACCTTATAATATTTGATCTCATTTTTAAAAAATAAATCTCTTGCATGTAATAAGTATGTTTTAATTTTTTTTAAAGCACAAGTGACAGTAGTTTAAATTGTTCATGTTAAAAAATAAGTAAGTTGAATGAAATGTTGAAGTGTTTTCATGACATCAGAGATTTATTCTTCTTGGCTAAGTTTGACAGTAGTGTTTACTTTTGAAATGGGAGCTTTCTATGGTTGTGTGGTTTTCTCTGAATTGCAAGGGCATTTCTGCAGCTAAAGAATTTATCATGCCCCATCATTTAAAGAGACAATTTATCTGCTTGCTCTGTTGACTGCACAGCTGCAACCCGCTTGCAGTTGGTTTCAGAGACTTTACTAAGTCCATCTTCCAGCTAGAGATGCCAGGAGTAATCTGCTTGGAAAATATGGCCAGTAAATAGGTAGTTTAAAATTAAAAAACAGCATTTTGGCAGAACAGAACGAGTTTTCCTATAGCTTAGTTTCTGCATGTATTTCATAGTTACGACTCCCTAGCAATATAAAACAGAAAAACACAAGTTTTGAGCCTCTCCTAAAGTGTATTTTTCAAACCATTTTTCACTACTATTACCACTGCAAGCTTTTAAAATTAGCTGATTCTATCAGAAAGTGGTGTTACAAAGCCTTGCATCCTTGGATTCCTGTCTTTTGTTCCTGATCCCAGGTAACCCAGGTCCTCCCTCCCGCAGGTGCCTTCATTCAGCTTCCTTTCTTGGCCCCGACCCCCTTTATACCTTCATGTCCCACTGCTGTCTGCTGGCCTGGAAGGACTTGTCTTGCTAGGGACAGCCATTTGTATGACTGACCACCTGTCAGGTCAAAGGAAGATATCACTGCTTTAAGTTTCAGCTTTTCCTTAGCTGTAGATAAGGAGCAAAAAATAGTCAGGAGCTTCTAACCAGTAACTTTTATATTCAAACAATTAGACACGTTTCTTTGCCAGTTTTGAACTGGGACTGTCCCATAGGTTCTGAGCAGTGAAGGGGAACGCCAGAAGACAGACATGGTGATTGCACAGCTCATGTTCCCTTACAGTTCTGTAGCTTTAGAGAGTCTTTCTTTATGGCTATTTGTGATGGTGGTTTGATGTGTTCAAGGCAACCAGGACAGCAGTTAGAGTAAAGTTGAATCAAGTGGGAAGAGGAAAGAATCTAGTTTTCATTAATGTTGGTGTTTTCTGTGTTTGTGTGTTCACTAGTTTTTCATGGCAGTACTGAGCCAGGAGTCAGCCAAGTGCAGTTCCTGCTTAGAGCGTGCTCTGTGCATGTTCATACCTGCTTTTATTTTAGATGCAAAGTGCATATATATTTTTATTTTTAATGTGAAGTGCATTAGCAGAGAAAAGATTTCTGTAAATCAGAGGAAAAGGATTCTCTTGCAAAATCATAGAATCCCAGGATATTCAAAGTTGGGAGGGACCCCACAAGGATCACAAGGTCCAACTCTTTAAGTGAAAGGCCCTTAATGGATAGAACCCACAACCTTGGTGTTAGTAGCGCCATGCTCTGAACAACAGAACCAGTTTCAGGTTAAATTTAATAATAAGTGCAGCGATAAACACTGTGGTCAGACTGCTGCTTTAGGACACAGACAATGCCAATTTAACACACACTTTATTCAGCTTTTCCTTTGTGCAGTGGTAAGGTGATTTTTCCTGTTGAGTCTGTATCTGCAGTAAATAGAGAATTCCAAAGCCAGTAATTCTGTCATGTGGCTCAAAGATGAAGGGCACGGACTCTGAAAATACATTTCATTTGGTATTGTGTTTTAGAACTTACTTGTTGGATGAGTACAGATCAAGGGAATTATGTGTCACAATACACAAAGCTGCTCTCAATAGATGAGTTTGTTGTATGGAAATGTTCCTTCTAAGTAGCCATCTCTTTCCTCTCTCAATGCTTAGGCCTGCCATTAAGTTGTGGTATATGGTATTATTTGGGGTTTTTACAGGTTTTATTTTTGTTTGTTTGTTCTGGTGCTCCTGTGACAGATTCAATATGGTAACTTTTATTGAGGACAATCACAGCAAGGAGCATCTTGTGTTAATCTTTTTGCCTGTTTGACTCTCTTGTAGTGCTTCTTATTCTGTAAAGCAGTCTTTAAGCATTGGGCTGAAATATGTTTATGGTATAAAATACATATTTTATACCATGTTTAAGTATATTCTTCCCCAAGCTGAGTGTTGTTAAAGGTAAAAAAAATCATGAGCCTGACTGAAATTGTTGGTTATTGCTAGAAACTTTATGTCCTATTAACCCAGGTTTGTTTCTAATTATTTTTGTTTTCAGAATTGGTAAAGGATTTCAAGGTGTCATGAAAAGGTGGGGATTTAAAGGTCAGCCTGCAAGCCATGGCCAGACAAAAACTCACAGACGACCTGGAGCAATATCAACCAATGTGAGGATTCTCATTTCCCATTAAAACATTCCAGTGTTTTTCTAACAGCTTACTAAAACTGAACAAGTGAACAGTAGCTGGCTGCCACACATACTCTGTGCTAGCAGGGAATCCCAGCAGCAAAGGAAGTTCAGAATCCTGTATAAGGAGCAATGCTGTTCTCTTAAGCCTCGATTTATGAATATTCTGTATTGCTGGTAAATTCACATATTTTAACTGAGCTAACTGGCATATTTTGTAATATAGTGAGAGGAATAGTCTTAATACTTCAAAGAGAGTTCTAAGAAGCTTTTATCACAGCATTTATAGATTGGAATGGATTTGCCTGTTATTTTATCCTGCAGATATTGTACCATTCTCTGGAACCCTCGTTCCTTTTATCACCTTGCCTGGCATCTGTAGCTGCTTAATGAACTGATCCCCATAATTTACTAGGGAATTATTCCCAGAAGTGTGTAAGCTTCTATACATTTCTAAGCAGAGTACAGTCATATCTTTACATTTCAAACTATAAATAATATTAGTATAAAAGCTTTTGGAAGAGGTTAATTTTAGGCTTTGTCTTACAAAAAGCTGTACAATATTTAAACTGAACTAAGAGGAATATTTTGCAAAGTAATTAAAACCAACTGAGTTATAGTAGTGAACATGAACTGTCTGTAAATTTCTTAGAGAAATTGAAATATAAAAAAGGATTAATAATGCTCAAGAGAATAGTAAAAGCAAAAAGGCAATAGTCAATGAAGTTAGAGTAACTGAGAGTGTAAAAGCATGCTTTACTGATTTATAGTTCTCAGTTTCAGCTGGCAAAAGAATTCTACATCTGGCACTTGTTTTCACTAAAGAATGTAAATATTTCAACACTAAACAATATTTTAGCAGATGGTATTCATCATAACAAAATAACCCCACTTTACTTTTCTTTAAATTAGAATTTCATGAGCAGTAATGATGCATGTAATTTCACAAAGTATATAGAATGAAAAATGGTGTTGGAAGTAGGTATGATGGGAAGGAAACAAGGTGAAAGGTTGCAACAGGGGAAAAACAATGCCTTGATAGTACTTTCCCATGTATGGTTGACCATCTCAGACATTTTTGTGATCCAGGACTGTTCAGTAGAGAATCCTCTCCCTAGAACTGCATTGCAACTGATTTCACAAGAATTAAGAAATATCCCAAGAAACATTATTAATGAATAACAGAGAGGTGCAAGAAACAGGTCCCTTGATAACAGTGTAGAATTGAAAATTGTTGTACTTGTTCCTGCCGTTTTTCCCCAGCTTTGTTGTCCAGTTTTTGCCCAGTCAATCAAAATTTCATACAGAAACTAAGGAATTCTGGGGGATAGAATTAAAAATTCTACTCTGAAGAATACACGCATTAAAAAAGATCCAATTGACATCAGTGTAAAAACTTTTTGATTAGGGGAGAAGAGAAGTTACCGTGTGGGTGTGTATGTAGTGTATGTGTGTATATATATATATATATATATGTGTGTGTGTGTCTATATATATAAAAATTAAAAAATCTTGTGATTGGGTCAAGTATTTCAGAACACATGTAGAGTAAACTTAACCTCTGGCAGGAGGTATTTAAAATGCTTATCAGGATTTGATTTTTTTGATACTATGTATTTTCAGCCTTGGAAATACCAGCATATTCTCTCTGGTGCACCTCTTGAGTTTGTAAGTGTACCTCTTGCAGTTAACATGGTGATTTTGGCCTTGTTTTTATCTAGAAAGCTGCCAAAGTTTATCGTGGAAAGAAAATGCCTGGTAAAATGGGTAACATCTACAGGACATCTTTTGGATTAAAGGTGAGTTCTGGGTATACCAGTGCGTGGAAAAGTTGGTGGCGTGTCCAGGCAATGGTGTCCTGTCTGCCATCTCTGCGAGAATCCAGACAGCAGCATCTTGAAGTAAGCAAGCTGGAAAGACCAGAGCAGCAAATCTGTTCTCTTGTGGGTTACAAATAACTTATCTGAACATCCTTTGAGCTTGTGGTACCCTGGGAACTGGGATTTTCGGTGATGCTTCCACATTCAGTGTATTTTTCACTATGTCCCTTGACTTCCACCTTTGAAGAGAGAAAGCAGTCAGGCTTTTGGTGATTTCAGTTAATGTCTCCATGCTTATTCCATTGTTTGTACCCAGCCCAAATTTGAGTTGTTTGAAGCTCTGACTTGATCATGGCCTTTCACTTTCATGTGCAAAAAGGGGGTTATAGTTTCTGTCCCAATTCTGATTTGTACATAGCTACAGCAGCTGCTGAGCTATTAAAGCTACTCTGTCTCTGAAGGTAACCTCTGTAGTTTGCACAAAAAGCATTTTGACCTCTAGTTTGCCAAAAAAGTGCTGCTGTTGTTCTCAGTTTACTGCAACTAATTTTTTGTAGCAGAAAATGTGTGTGTTCAGTTGAGCACCTGATTGAGTTAAGAAATTAACATACAGTAGCAGGAACATTTTCATGAGGACATTTGTTTTACTTTGTCACCTGTGATGTTTTTCAACATGTAGGTCTTAGAGGTAAAAGAGACCTAGGAGCTTTGGTTGGTGTTACACTGATCAAAGAGCTACTTTACCAAATACAGCCTGATCACCAGCCTTTAAAACTGATTCAACCTCTTGCATTTGGAAGCTTTGCACCCAGAGTGGCATGTGAGTGAATTCTGTGGCAAGTTTAGGCCTGTGCAGAACATCTTTCTTCCCCAGGGTATCACAGCCAATTACTCAGTTTGGGCTTTGCTGGACTTCTGTTTATAAAACTGAGAATAGTCTCTAAACAGGACTCAGTGTTTGATTTTAATTTTTTTCTTTCTCCTAGGTGTGGAGGATCAACACAAAACATGACATTATTTATGTAAATGGGTCTGTTCCAGGTCACACCAATTGTCTGGTGAAGGTATGTTTGCTAGTTTCAATACTATTATTAGTGACTCCTAAGCTCTCTACAAATCAATTTACAGATGGAGAAACACTGGTAGAATGCACTTTTCATTTCTTCTGAGATGTCTTGTACTGTTGAATCAGAGGGCAGTGGAATCACTTCTGTGGAAGTGTGTGGTCAGCAGGGGCAGTGGGCACTCTGAATGGCTCAGTAGGGTACTCTAAATGACTCCTTCTTAGTTTGCGCCCACATATCTTATGATACAGCACAATTGCTGAACCCTGTGATAAGTATCTCCAGGCTGTGTCCATCCCCTTCAAATGCTAACATGATCCTGTAACATGGTGGTGAGATTTCCAGAATGTTTTACAAGTGTTATATTAATGAACAGAGATATACAGTAAATCCTGCTTTAGAGATTATTTGAAGCATTCCCATACCCAGTAGCACTTACCTTTCCAAGAAGCAGTTGAGGTACAGGAAGAGACAGCTGGACTTCACAATAAAGATCTGAGTTCCCTTTGGAATCAGTATAAATGTGCCAGTGGTATTTTCTGTGGCAGGCTTCAGGATTAATTTTGAAGTTTTTGGAGACTGTTTCAGTTTTCCATAGACAATCTTGAAACAATAGAGACTAGTAAGTGTTCTTATGATATAAATAATTCACATCAAATCAAGAAAAGTGTTTTTAAGGGTAGTTTTCAAAGTAGATTTTTCTTTCTAATTGGGTATATTTCACACACCTGAAAACACCACTTATGTGGAAGGTGTTTCCATTCTGACTGAATAGAGTGCAGGGTATCAAATGTCTTTGCTGTGAAAGAATATGAAGAGTTTGGTATGCATGAACCTTCCTGTCCTCGGAAGTATTGCAGGGATTTAAATTATTCCGGACTTGAAAAGTTGAAGTGTTTATCAAATTCAGATGTTTTCAAATAGTTCATTATCTTCTTCTATTTTACTGTGAACTGCCAGTTTTTGGTCTCTTACTTGTGGTGCAAAACTCTACGGCTACTGTGCCTTATGTACAGCAACCTTGCCTTCAAATAGGTGTTTTACCCATAGAAAAATTATGTTTCTCTCACTGTAAATAAGGCCTTTTTTCCTGGGCAAGGTATCTCTAAACTGTTTTTATTTTAATGTCCAGCCCAAGCCTGGGGAATACATTATACATTTCTCTTCCAGTATAGTGAAAATTGGTTAAGAGATGTCCAGGAAAAGTAGTTTTCAGGACAACTTCTGCAAAATTACTGGGCATGACATCAATTACATAGAATTAAGAGTGTTGTTCAGCTGGCTTTTCATCTGTATATTGAACTGAATGACCTTTTCTTAACTGTGTTCAAAGTATTTTCTTCTAATCCCGAGGTATGAACCTGGTTGCTCAGTGTCAGTCTGAAACTTAATTAAGTGTTAATTTATTTTAGGATGTTAGTTTTAAATTATAATGTATGCATACAAGCAGCATAATGTAGCTGAAAAATTGAGAAATGTTTGATGCTTGGACTGTATTCTTTGATTTAACAGTTCTCTTAAACAAGAGTTAATTGTTGAAAAATATTGTGCATCTTGTTACCCTAGTCATGCTGTTAAAATCCACACTTGGTGGCAAATGCAGGTATGCATCTCCCATGTTCTATCTGTAAGGATGCAACATCTTATGAAGCCAACTGCGACTGAATATAGTACCTGTTTTTACCAGATTATAACTTATTCTAACTAGACTCAATAATATTTTATTTCTGATTTTAAGTGAGTTAAGAAAACAAACATATATTGCACACCTGTAATATAAATTGTTTTTCAAAACAAAGCTGTGTGTGTTAATAGTGCACATTCTTATGTACACCATGAGGATCTCATTCAAACAAATCATTCTTCTCTTGCTGATCAGACACTGCACACTCTACTTGGATGAACTCTACATGTTCTTCACATACATGGGAAGAATGAAGCTTTTCTGCCTTTAGAGCTCCTTGCTTAAGATAATAGAGTATATGAAAGATCTTGACCAAAGTGCTCCAGACTCAAGCTTTGATGATGTTTAGTAATAAGTAACACTGTTTGAGATAAAGACTCAGGAGTAGGTATTACTGCTATTAAGAAACAGGTTTCCAAAAATTGCTTCCAGTCTTATTTGGAGATTGAAGTCAGTATATAGTAATGAACATTTCATTCCAGTTCCTTGAGCTGTTGGATCCATTCTGTGGCTTTTTCCTTACATGAGCCATATGAAATACATTGCATTCATTTTTTCCCTTATTTTTTCAAATATATCTGTGAAGCGTAGAAAAGGCTTTAATTATAAAATCAGGTAAAGCAATACTATTTGATTCTCTGATTTCTGGAGGCTTTTTTCTCCAATAATCTTGCTGCACTCATCTGTGGTGTTTTTAGCTTGCCTTTTGCCTTTCTTCCAGGGTGTTTTCTTGTTTGCTTATAGGCATCGACTTCCAATATATTGTTGTATATTTGTTTGGATTTGTAATTGGGGAGAGGAATTATGGGATATTAGCCTTTGTAATTACTGTTCATTCCACTAAATACCTGCCTGTAATTAAGTAGGAATAATGTCTAGGGAATTTGACTCCCTTCTGTCTTTGAGCTCCAGAGTGAAATATTGTGAAATAACACTTTCTTCTTTGTGTGCCTCCAAGGGGAAAGCATTTGTGTTCAGTATCCACTCTGTGTTGCTTGGTAACCATTAAAACCATAGTGCACCTTTAAAGCATATACTTATTTCGTATGTTGTATTTTTGGAAACTTCATGCCTCAGCATGCTATTCAGACAGAGATAAAGCACTTAAATTTTTCAAGTTTTGTTTTCAGCAGAATAAAATTGCTGAATACTAGGATTGATGGATTCCTGGTTTTAATTAGAATCAGCTTTCATTTGATATTGCACACTGAAGTATGCAGGTAAATAACTGACATCAGTAATGTTTCTAGCTAACTGGGAAACTAATAAAAAATGCTTACTTTAGCATGGATTTCTTTATCAATTGCAAAGCCTGATAAAATTAAAAAACTTCAGGAATGTGCTGAAATGCACAGAGTTCCTGTTAAAGAGGAAGATCGCGGAGTGAGCAATTGTAAAATTTTTGTGTTGGGCCTATCAAGATTGCCTACCTCAGGAAACATCTGTTTCTTTCTGAGGTATCTTCTTAGATCCCAGGCCCTAGAATTACCATCTATAACAGCTTGCTATTTCTAAAGGTTATTACCAAAAAGTTCTCTTTTGTCATTAAAGAGACATGCACAAGACTTAACTCTCTTTTTAAGTAGATGCCTTATAGTGGAGGGTAATATAGTATATTATAGTTCACAATGTTATACTTTGTCTTGGATAGTGTTTTATACCTGCCTGAATTTTAAGGCACCTGATTTTCTCAAGATATTCAGTGGATCACTTTTAGTATATCACTTGTAGTGCAGCCAGAAATTCTGGCAAATTTTGTAGCCCATAGGAGTTGCTTTGGAAGTCGATGCTGAACTGACCTGTTTGTATGCTAGACCTGAGTTCATTTGAACTATACAAGTTGCTTTAGTATGATGCTGCACTTGAGCTAGTAACTTGAGTCTTGAGATTCCTTATTTTTGTGGGCTTTTTAGGTTTTTTGGGGGGTTTTTTGTTCTTTTTTTGTTGTTGTTTTGGGGTGTTTTTTTGTTTTGTTTTTTTTTTTAAGAGAAGTATGTAGGGATTTGCATCCTACTTATTTTGTATCACGCTTCCCAGTGTTACTGTGCTGTGTTTCTAGTTGTTGATGCCTGGGTTGGGTGCACTCTGCTCTAGTTGAGAACATGCAGGGATAGTGTGATGCCTTCAATTATTTCATGTTTTCTGTCCTGTGCCTTGGGCCTCATTCACAGAGTTGCATGTCAGTCTGGGCGGGATTTGTATGGTTGGGTTATTTTTTAAGACAAAATAAAACTGGTAAGAAATGGATATAATTCTTGGGTTCAATTTTTATTTCTAGCTTCAGTAATAGCAGGGAAGCTGACTTAGGTGATGTATGACACTTTGGGAGCTTATTTCTAAACATTTTCTATATTTAAGCACATTTTTATACACAAATAGCTTGCATTCTTTGCTGTGGTTGCTATACAGCCTGAAGCCCTGTTGAACTACAGATGTGAGTTGTGACTTAAATAAATATTAAAAACTGATGCTTAAGACCACATTAAGCCTTTTGTGGTGATAGATTTCTGAGTTTGTTTGTTTATACTACCCATTACACTGTCAATATAGGGAGCATACACAAGTGCAGTTTATTAATTGTCTGCAAAATCCTTTATGACTGTTCTAAAGATTTAGTGACAAAAACCCAACCAGCTCCAATTTCAGCTTTCTCTAGTATTTTTCTAGCTAAAATGACCTGTCAGAGAATACATTGTAGTCGTTATACCATCATCTGTATATAACATCTATCTATAGTATACTCTACTGTAATATATAGTGCTATTAACACAGCAGTTGAGTAAGCCAAGTATTTATTATTTGAGGTATACAGCAAATGCTTTTATGGATTGCAGTAACAGTTTGGACTATGAGCTTCATTCCTTCTGTGGATGAGAAGCAAATTCACTGGATTGTAGTAACGCAGCATGAAAACTTACTCCTTTGTTAGGAATGTTCTCAGAAGGTTACTAGGAGAGCAGGAAGAGCTGTGCTGGGTCACCTGCACTTCTTTTGTGTGTGCATGCTTATACAGACAAGTGTAGCTGCTGCTGCTCCACACCAGTGAACACCTTTATACTGTTGTAAAATTATTGTTCACTAATCTGAGTTAAGAGACACAGGAAATCTTTGGTATGCTGGGCCCTTCATAAATGTAAAGGGAGTAATTGAGTAATTCTCTTGAGAAGACAGATAAATCATACCATGTTTTAGCTGGTAATCAATACTTTCAGGTGTTAAATAGAGTTTTTCCTTTAAATAGGAATGATAATGATAATATCTGGTAATAGACTAACATCTAACTTTTTAAAAAAAATTTCAAGAAAGAGTTTCATTTAGTTTGGAAGTAATGTCCTAAGATGGCAGTTTTTTGCTTGAAATTGCATTTGAAAGCTATGAATGTAGAAAATGATGGAAAAAGATCAGTAATTTCACCAGTCAAAAGAAACACTGCATCAATTATACTACTCAAAAAAAAAGAGCATATCAGAAGAAAACTGTTTTAACATCAGATGTGGCCTGTGTTTCTGGGATCTGTCAAGCTTCTGAGGAGTTTGGAAGGGGCAAAATGAAACAGTGTTGTACTCCTCTGGGAGCAACATTGGTCTGTTGGAGATGTTTAATGAGACTCTTAAATCCTAAAACTATTTTAAGAATTCTCCATATCACACTGGAGATACTCTGTCTAAAATGTCCCTTGGCATTAATATGTAATTAATACAATGTTATTAAGTCCTAGCAGAAATCTTAAAATTATTTAGGTAAACTAATGCAGGACTAAGATTAGACTGTTGGATTTGCCTTCAGTTAAGAGCAGATGTCTTACTGCTAAATCCTGTCATAAGAAATTGTTTTAAGAAGAAATGGGAAAAAAAAAATAGGAGGAAAACAAACATTTCAATTCCTTTCATTTTCCGGGTATCCAGAACTGCCGGCAATGACACAGCCCATATGTAACAGCACATACTATTGCATTGTGAAAATAATAAAAAATAACAAAAGCTAGGCATGAAAAACATTTAAATAAGGTCTACATGAAATGAGTAAGTTATCATAAATAAAAATCATTTATTCTGATCTTTCTAATAATGACTCACATAGGGATCATGAGGGATTTTGCTGTTGACAGAGAAAACTTTTTGTGTGTAATAGGATTAGAGAGTAAAGGAGAAATGAGCAAGGGAAAAAAAAAAGATAACCAGTGAAGCAATTAAAATGTGGTTTCATATACTAAAAGAAACAGCCACAATATGTTGAAATGGAAAGATGACATCTCTGAAGATGTCATCCTTCAGGTGCCATTGCTGAAGCTCTCTGACTGTTTCTTCTAAACTTACTGTTGCTGGAACTGCAGCAAAGATCTGTGGACTTGGACCTCAGTCTAGTTCATTCCAGCTATATGTGCAGTGTAAATTGGGAACTACAGGTCTGGCAGTTCATAAGGCTGTAGAGAACACTTCTAGTAGAAGAGCAATGTTCTGCTTGAAAAGCTACTTAGCCATCCTAACCAGTGCAACATATTGAGCCCCCCATTCTTAGCAAAAGACTTTCTTTTGTTTATCAAGCCTGCCTTTAAAAAAATATTGGAATGTCAAATTTATTGTATGTGCCATCTGCAGGAATCCTCATGGATTTTGGGAAAGGTTCAAGTAATAGTAGATATGAATTTGGTAAATGCAGTGCTGTCAGAACAGAACATTAAGTGGGCATAAATTTTTTAAATTTAATTTTTGGCATAAATAAGAATTGTCCTCCATGAGGTCTTTGTCCAGCCAAGTAAGAACAAGCATCCCATTCTTTAAAAACCCACCAAAAACCAAGAGGAAGATCTTATCTTCTCTCTACTAAAATTTTGTCTAATATATTGGCACTTTTTTTTTATCCACTTGAGTATAGTGCCTGAAGGGGATTATTACAGCTGAGGAGAAAGATGATATGTAACAATATAGAAAAGAAGAATTAAATTTTAAATCAAATTTAAGAATTTCTAGCTCTTTTTTTTGTTTATTCGGAGATACCAGCCTTCTGTTTGCTACTGCAGGCAAACTGCTTTTTGCTGATAATTCTAGGTACTAATTTTCTTCAGAGATTGGAGATTCAGGGGCTAGATTTTAAATCTTTCCACATGTAGAGAGGTCAGTAAAGGAATTTCTCTGTGGCACTACTCTTCTTGCAAATAAACTGTCTTAGAGGCTCATGTTCAACAAACTTAGGTACTGATTCCTGAGTGGAAAATTTTAGATGTTTAACTCTGCAATCACTGACCAGCTGTGCAATAGCCAGAGGGATTCAGTACAGCACATGCACATATCTTTGCAAAATTAGTTACCATAATTAGTTTTCATCACACATACAAATGTGTGTCTTGTTTGTTGAAGAGGTGATTACACTGTGTAATAGAACTTGGAATGTCACGTAGGAACATACTGTGAGGAATAAGCACTGTTTAAACAAGCTATACTTCTGTTTTTAATAACATTTAAAAATACTCAACAATGAATTCAAATGAGTGGGTTTTGATTCACTGTAATGACAAATTCTCTTAGGATTTTTTGTTTGTTTGTTTAGTTTTCCTGATTTTTAAAATCTCTTTATGGATGAGTACAAAATGTTAAATTCAACACCTAGGGTTGATATTAAAGTTTCTGGTGATTATACCTGGAATTCTTTAAACAAGTTGAATGTGAATGCTGTTGGGTTTTTCTTGTGCATGCAAGCTGAGTTCTTTAAATTTTAGTGTATGACTGTCTAGAAATCTTCTGTAAGATTTATTAACCCTACTCTCCCCCTTCCTGCTTTTCAGGTCAGAGATAGCAAATTGCCTACTTACAAGGACTGCAATAAAAACCCTCCATTCCCTACATTTTTTGCTGATGGAGATGAAGAACTGCCAGAAGACCTTTTTGATGAGGAGATTTTCCAGTTCACAGATCCATCTGTCACATTCGCATAATATTCCTCACATCTTTGAAAACGCAGTTTTGTTATTTTCATGTACATTGCAACGTTTTATAAAAATAAACCTATGAATTGCAGTCTGGCCAACTGACCTTAAACACTTCTGGTATTGCCATTTTGGTCAGGTAATCAGGTCAGTCTCAAGCCTGTACTTAAAGCAGCAGGTGAGTCTGAGGGACAGGTTGTAAAGCACCCTGAACTGTATCTTCAGTGACCTTTTGTCCTCTGCCCCAGGCTGTGAAAACCTACACAATCCTGAAAAACTGTTGTTTTGCAGATGGTTCCAGTTCATTTTCTGCATGTGAACAAATTCTGTTTCTCTTTTATGTAAAGTATACTGGGCAATTCTGATCAATCAGTAAAAGGTTCCAAGTCAGCATTGACATCCGAGGTGGGGAGGATCCATGAAGAGTGATCCAAAATAAACCAAGAAAATGCGTGAGCATTGTTTTGCAGAATGAGCTTGTTTTGCTTCCTTCTTTCATCCAGATCTCCTTTCTTTTTGCCCTTGTGTTGTTTAATGTAGCAGATGCCCAACAGATTTTCTAGGGGGAGGGTGATGGTGGCCATGTGTAGGGTGAGGGAGTGTTTGGGTGGGTGACATTTGGTAACAAAGCAGCACTAGGACTGCCTGTTTGTTGCCTTTGTAACAGCTTGGTTTGAACTTCATAGAGGGTCCCTTGAATGCTCTCTGGAGAAGTCTCTGTGCATCTACCATGGTCTTTGTATTGGATTCTTACACTGTTACAGGAGAGCTATTTCCAAGGAAGGAGGCCAAATGTGAGGCATTTGTCTTTAGGATAGTGCTCATTTTTCTCTTCTATCCCACTTTTCAGTAGCATCTGGGATCATGCCCCTTCTGCTTTTCATTTTGCATAATTTACTATTTATAAGTTTGATGTTTTGGATTCTGTAAATCTTCTCATGTACAGAAGTACCTTCATAACTGTCAGTGTCATCTGAGCACTTTACTTACAAGCAGTGCAGTAGTTCAAGAGTTTGCATGCACTGTTACCATTAATACCCTGGCATTGCTGTCTGCTCATCTTTGCAGCTTCATCACAAGCTATGAGCTCAAAGGAAGCCACAGGTTTATGGAAGTACATTAAGGTGAGCTTTGTATCAGATAATATTTCAGTGTGGGGAAAATCAACAAAGTACTTCAATTCCTGTTTCATAAGAGAACTTTTCCCTTTCTGGCATAAAAAGTGAAATTCCAATCATCTGACCATATTGCTCCAGGGAATGGCTGCAGCCATTCAGGGAATATTGTAGTTAATGTTGCCTTCCGTTTGTTCAGTTTTAAAGTTTCTGCTGAAGCCAATATTCTGCCAGATTAATCTCTGCAGTTTTGATTTTGAAATGTATACTGGGTGTGAGCTGCATGATTTTTTGAGATGCTGCTTATTCAGGTCCCATTTTTACTGAAATGTGCAGGTGAAAACTTTTCCATCTTTATCAAGAGTGCTTGAACATCAAAGACAAGAGCTTTCATAGCTCAGCTGCAGGCTGATGTCCCAAAGTGTTTTCTGTAGAGCAGGTGCAGAATGAGATGGGCAAGATCTGCTGATGTGAGCTCAGAGTAGTGCAACTCAGATTGAAACAAACTTCCATCAGGCATTGGAAGGCTTATGGTGTTTTAATTTTTCTTATTGGTCTCATCTCTGTTTTCTGCTCTTCTGAGTGAAGAGGGGACTTTGAGTTGAGAACACCAGGCTGAATTTATTTCAAGGAGCAAAATTGTTCATAAGTGTAATGACACCAAATGCTTTTAAGCCCACCTACAAGTTTGTTCTTAGAAAAGGTTAAGGATATTGAATGAACTATTTTTAGACATTATCAAAGGTGTTGAAGCTGAATATTCTTCGTTGTGGCCAAAGGTTGGGGCTAATGGAGATGTGTTTTTAAGCTTCAAATAAAAGACAAAATTAGGCAAATATCAAGTCCTCAAGTCTCAGATGAGCCAACAGTTTCTCATGCAAAAGGATGTGTTAATTTTTGTGAAAAAGCAGACCAAGGGCTCTGTTGCAAGTAGATGTATTTGTGTGTTTTGTTGCTGTGTCTGAGTAATGACAGTGTAGAGCCATCAGGCAGCATTTTCTCAGACAAGCAACAACAGCAACAAAAATAAGTTCTTCTTCCATATTATATGTAGTTATTTAAGAAGAAGGAACTGAGCATGTTACCAGAGGTCTGAATCCTGTAGGACAAAATTCTACCCAATGTTAGGAGTTGTTATGCTGCCCAAGGAAGTAATAAGTAATCACTGGCAAGCTCTGCTACCAGTGCCATAACTTGAGAAGATTGCTACAAGGTCTTCCCCAAGTTCTCCTCTCCGGGCTCTCTCAGCCTGTCTTCATAGGAGAGGTGTTCCAGCATCTGATCACCTTTGTGGCCTATTCCTGGAGTCACTTTAGGAGATAATTCCGTGCCCTTGTGCTGTGGGCAAGGCACTGATCTGGGTTTTGCATGTCTAGGAGCTCGTTAACCCTCTCTTTATGCTGTTGTGTTTATTTGGGTAGGTGGGGTGTTTTTAACATCAGGAACATGTTGTTCTGGAGAAGGATGTAGGGTTAAGCTTTAGCTGTATCTGTGGCTTAATGGTGTGACTGCTTTGAAAAATAAATACTCTTCAATAATAACCCCTCTCAGTGGTTCTGTAATGGTCCATGAATAAACAGTGTCAAGCTTACAATATAAGTTGAAGGTAAAAAGACAGCAGGAAGAGGAAATCAAAACACTCATATATCATTTGACAACATAATTGCAGCCATTAATGATAAACAAGGAGAGCTTATTTCTCTTGAAATACCATACTTTCAAATACCATTGCTCTGTCATTATGTGAGTCTGATAAACATTTTCATTTGCTATTTTCACTTCATGTGGAAAAATGTGGTTTCCCCTGTTAGTGTTTAATAAATATTCTAGTAAACTGAAGGGGTGACAAGATCTTATGTGTAAAATTCCACCTTGCTTACTGTTTCCCTGCTGCATTCTAGAACTCATAGAGGATTTTGATGATCCTAGAAGCCTTTGCCAACCTTGGAGACTCTGTGATTGAAAGAAAAGAAAACTGACAAAGATGTGAACTGTGAGAGAGCTGATGTGCATAACCCAAACCCCAATTAGAGGCTTCCCACTGGCAGCCTGGTGCCAGCCCCATGCTTCTGAGCACCAGCACACGGGCTCCCCTGGAATGCCCAGGTAAATACTATTCAAAGGAAGTTGCTGTCCCAATCCTAAGGTGCTTCATAAAATCTGGCTAATAGAGGAGCCCAGTAACCACAGTGAGAGCAGTGGGGTTCATTAATTTTAGGATTGCTGTGTCTGTAGCTATGGCTTGGCTTGGGTTATTCTTCTGATTTATGTCATTCATCACCTTGAGATTTTGAATGGGAATACATTGGTTTCATAACTGTAAACATTTTTTGTACAGTGTCTTCCAGTAAGTACTTCCTCTGCCCTTCTGTGCACAGGTAGTGCTTATTAATTGCATTTAGTGAGCATCTCTCTCCTGCATCATATAGCCCTGCTCTGTTGCACACCTTAGCATGTAGCATAGCTTCGTATGATTTGTTCATATAACACGCTTGAAGGCGCTTGACATCTGTAAGAACCTGCAAGAATGCTGTCCTTGGCCTTAGCTGTTTATTGGTTTTGGAGGCAGTATGCAGTTTCTGGGGGAGGAATTTAAATTGATTACACATAACCTTAATGTTATCACACCAGAAAAATAATTCATTTCAATGGGTGCAGCTCTGCTGTGTCTGAAGTAAGGCAGCAAAACAGACAGATGGCAGTTTTCCCTGAGGAATGTGCACGGCTAAGTTGTGGTGTCAGGTAGGAAGGGGTTACCTCAGGACTGGTAGCCTTCAAATTGAAGCAGCCTGCTGACTTCTATGTCATGAAGTACCCGAAAAACATGTGGGATGTGAACTGTAGAAGACAGTTCAGTACCCTGCCCTTGTGTCAACGCATCTTCCTTGCATCTCTCCCCTCGTTTCTCAGAATTGTGTGTATGGTAAGTGGGAATGTTGCACTGGAGTGGGCATCATGAAAGATTTCCAGCAGCATCAATGTCCATAATAATGTCCTAGTTTTTCCTCATTCCATTAAGGTATTACATATGGGTTCCCACCTTTATGCATGGTTGATATGGCCTAGAATCATTTCTGTTGGAATACCAAAGACCTGAGCTGTGATCTTGCTTTTTTATCCAAGTGCCACCCTCTGCCCATGAATTGAAAATCACTGCTTGGGACTAATTTTATTTGGGGACTAAATTAGTATTTACTGTCATGGCAGTAACTTGGAACACTACAACAGAACCCAGAAGAGAAAGTCAGCTGAAAAAAATGAGTGCAGGTTTTAGTGTGAATACAGAAAATGACTAATTATTTGCTGTAATGTACTGAGTATATGCTAGAGATGGGGTCCACTGTGCTGTGGTGGTTCCTGCTGCTTCTCAAATTCATTTGTGTAAAATCTGGCATAAGATGTACATATTGAAGTTAAATTATGCACAAATCCAGATTTGGGGTTTTAGAAGAGGCAGGATTGCAAGGTGGGGTTGTTAGCAAAAAATTGACTTAAACCAATTTCATATCAATCAAGTTGTGCTATATAATTTGCTTCACATTTCCCTGGGTGACACAATCTTCCAGTCTGCTAAATCAACCTTTCATTTCTGTTTTCATCTCCTTCCTCACTTCCTTTCTAAGTAGTAGAAAACCTTTAAAAATGTGTGTTTTTTTCAGGCACTCAAAACCTTGAAGAAGGTCCCTTGGCAAGTTGATTCTCTATTGAAAAGCAGAATGACTCATCATTCATAGGCAAGAGTCATTTTATAAAAGTTTCTTTTTTTATTTCTAAAAGATCAAGAGGAAAGATCAAGATTTCTGAAACAGAGTCTTTTCTGCACATGGCCTCTCTTGAAGTGATCTTCCATGAATTCCCACTATATCCCACCTGAACCCTTTTGTTGCTCCATGTAAGCTTCCAGCACAAATTACAGTTTTTGTGCCTCAGTCTTGCTTAATATACATCCAGCCAGCACCACACAAAATAAGTGTGAAAATTCGGCAGTGGGCAATGAGAGATTTACTACATGGCACATATTTCAAAATCACAGTTCCTTTCTTTCCAGCAAGCAAGAAAGGCATTATTGTCCATTGGTTTGTTCTCAAATTGCACAGCCTCTTTCCAGAGGGAGATTTTAATCTGGAGTTACCATGTTCTTCCTTAGGCTATCTTGAAATTTTCCTTTATTGGAATATTTCCTTTATTTTAGAGCTGCGTGTGAGAAATAGCTTGAAAGAAAATAAATGTTTTATTTCATTTCCCTCATCTTTCATTTCCCTTTATCGGAAGTCAAGAGAGAAATGCTTTCTGTGTATGGCACTTACAGAGAAAATGAATTGTTTTCTGTGAGATTGCCAGTTGGTTTCTGACCTGC